CACCATCATGCCTCCTCGTTCGCCATCCCCCAACGCGCCGTTGGCCCTCCTAGCTTGGGCGCCTTCTCCCGACACTGCCCCCAGCGCTGCCTGGGCCGCGCCCCCACTCCTCCGCGCGGCAGGGGGGGTCGGCGCGTCCGCGCTCTCATCTGCCATCGCCCGCGTCGCCTTGCTCGCCATTTTCACGCGCCGCTGGCGCGCTTCTCGATCTGGGGCCGCGCACACTGGGTGGCGGAGGGCGGGGTGAGAGGGCGGCTGCTCGCTCTGGTCGCGCCCGCGGGTCGCGCGGCAGCCAGCTCTCTCGCCAGCGCGCCGACGAGGCCCCCGCCCCGAAGGGTCGCGCGGAGCCCCGCCGCTGCACGCTTACCGCTGCCCTGCCGCTGCTGCGGATCGCCGTCTTCCTCGCCTGAGTCGGCCGACGCGGGCCGCGCCCAATCTCTACGCGCCTGGTCACGAATGAAGGTCGCGCTTGTACTTGAATCCCCCCGGGCTTCCCGCGCGCGCTCTGAGGCCGGCCTCGTCGCCTGGCCATCGGCGACGCTCGACGGATTGACCACCTGGCCGGCGCCCCTGCGCGCGCTGCCCGCGCCTGGCCGACGCGCCGACGTCGAGCCTGTCACTCGTCAGCGGCCTGATGGCCTCCGCCCTTGCCCCCCCCCCCCCCCCGCGGCGCATCGACGCGGCCCGGCACTTCTGCTGGAAGGTCAGCCCACGAGCCCCCCTCGCACCCCTGGCCCGCACCTCCGCGCAGGCCCCGAGCATCTCGTCGGGCCCACGGGTCGACGCCCCCCTGCCCAGACTCGCCAGGCGGCGCGAGCGCGCCTGTCTTCTCGCCCTCCGCGAGAGCCAGAGGCGGCGCGCCAGCGAGCCGCCCATCGATAGCAGACGCGCAGGCAGCGCCGAGCACGAAGCCCCACAAGCCCCAACGCAAGATCTGCGAGCCACGTCGGGGGAGGACGGCCTGCGAGGCCTGCCCCAATGGACCGCCGGAAGCCAGGCGCGACCTCCGCCCTCGCCAACCGAGATCGGCGCCCAAATGGAATGAGCAGAATGACCGCGGATCTCTCGACGACCCAGCTATCCCGACCGCGCGACGATCAAGGAAGATGCCGATGAGCTGCGCGGCCCCGAAGCCCCGCCCGGACCCCGCGGGGCCTATTATCTCTTCGCGAGGCCACCCCTCCCCGCAGAGGGCCCCTCCCGCCCGCGGCGGAGCGGGCGCGAGTTCACGGTCGGGCGGGCGCCTGCGCAGCGGGGGAGCGCCCGCCGGTCGATGAGGGCCCAAGGCGACCCGAGAGACGCGCCAACGAGCCCAGACGGAAATTCCCTGCAGGGCCGGCCGCCGCCCGCACGACCCCCGGAGCCGCGCCACCGGGGCCGAAGGGCCCGCGGGGCCAGGGGCCAGGAGGAGACGAAAGGGTTCTAAGCCCGGCGCGGCCCCCCTCGAGCCGTGCCGGACGCAGGCTGCGAAAGACCGTTCTGGTCGCTCCCCGGGCCGCGCGGCGGCCAGCTCTCTCGCCTGCGCGCCGACTAAGCCTCCGCCCCGAGGGGCCGCATGGAGCTCCGCCGCTGCTGGCGCCATGAAATTTCAACGGCGCACCGCGCGCGCATTGCCGATCATCTGGGGCCGCGAGCGCAAACGGCCCCATCGGCGGCCCGCTGCCCGGGCCGCGCGGCGGCCAGCTCTCTCGCCCGCGCGCCGACGAGGCCCCCGCCGCGAAGGATCGCGTGGATCCCCGCCGCTGCCAGCACCCCAGAGCCCGACAGATACCCCGCTTGCACGTTGCCGATCAGCCGGGGCTGCGGCTCGCAATCAGCTCCTCGGTGGCCTGCCGCTGGCGCTGGCACGCCCGCGCCTCCCTGCGCATCCTGCTGCGCCTGCTGCGCACAAAGCGCCCATTCTTTCGACTTGAGGGGGCTTGCAACGCGGGCAGACGCACATACTGTGATTGCCACCGCCGAGAGTGATCGTGAAGTCGGCCGCGGCTCCCAGACACTCATCTTCCAGGATGGCCTCGCATAGTTCCCCCATGTTGACGGTCTGAACAACCGCCCTGTCTCCATACCTCGCGAGCCCGCGTGCATGGCGAGGCAGATGGTCGCGATTTGCTGAGACAAGGGTTCCTTCTTCTGTTTGTTCCTCATGTTGCAACACGTGGCCTGCAAGCTCATGGTGCTGGGCGTAACCGAGCAGTCCAGGGCAACGTGCTTCTTTCGGCCGTGACAGTGGTAGCACATGTAGTGGCAGGGATCCGAAGAATCGGGGGTCCTGTTGACGAGCGTCTGCATGCCCTCGCGGCACATGGCCTTGGCTGCGCGCTCGTGCACGAGGATCGAGCCGATTTTCTGGAAGGCTGGGGTGTCGTCATTGCCGTGGGCCTGGACGAAGTTGGAGATCAAGCCGTACTCCTCCTTGCGGTAGTGGCACATGATTGGGTTGGTGGGCGGTGGCGCGGCCGCCCGAAAACCCGAGGGTGCCGTCGGAGTCATTGACCAGAGGCGACAGCTTCTTTTGGGGGGTGATCCTCGGGGGCCACGCACCCTTCATGAACCTCGTGATACGCTCTTCCCATCGCCTTGCCCAGCGGGCTGCAGAAGGACGACTCGCACGCGCGCGCGTCGGCCAGGCTCCCGCACCCCTTGGGGTCGCGTGGGGTTCCGCTGCCGCTCGCGCTCGCCTCCAGCCTGCAACCGCTTGCGTCGGCATCACCCGCCATTGTTCTGCGCGCGTGCTGGCGTACGTCGGGGTTTTCGCGTTCCAGGTGTTGCTATACCTGGGTGTTCCCTCTCTGGCCTGGACGCTTTTTTCCCAGGGGCCAGGCATGCTCGCGCTGGGGAATCTCCTCCGCCGCGTCCTGCGAGAACGCCTCGGGACCCTCGGGAGTCCCGCCCGTGCCCGCCTGCTGTCCGATTTTGGACGACTGCGCTCGGTTTCGTGGCCCGTGCCCTGCGGGGGCGACATGGCAGGCGCAAAGGGGGTCTTTACCACTGGCCCGCCGCAGCGCCGCGTCTAGAGCGCACGGCCCAAGGGCCAGCTTCAGCGCCCAACTAACTAACCTTGTGAAACGGCCGAGCGCCTGAGCCCGAGTGGCATCATGAGCAGGTCGCTCTATGGCATGTCC